GGCTTTATTTTTTCAACCTCACCATCCTTACTCCTACGAGTTCCCTACATTATAGATCTCGTAGAAGATATCTACATTTTTACATATTCCTAATAACATGAAAACAAAATAAAGTTGCGATTGGTGATCCAATCGTTCTCATCCTAGATTTCTAGGTAGACATTGTAAACGGCAAAAAATGCTAAAAAGAGTGGCATTCAATTAAGCATTTTACATTTAGAATGAATCTGTTTAAAAATGATAATGAAATTTATAAAGTCTTCTAAAATCTAGTGTTATTGGTTATGATATGTGTAAATATCTCTTAGAATCCTATAAAATATAACCTTGTTGATGTAAGAAACAAAATATATTTTTTTTTTGTTAAAGAGAAACAAAATATATAAAATCTAACCTCATTGTGATTCTATCAAAAGGCCAAATATATGATAATTATTATTGAATATGAAATATACCATCGGTCTTGCATATGTGCATGGGGTCCGGGTGGTTTTCTGAACCAACAAAAGTAGTTCTCTTATATGATGAACCCAGTAGTTTTTTAAATCCTCAAATTGGTGTGTCCACGCTTTTAATCAACCGAACAAATCTTATTTGAACCAGACCAAATTTTTGAAAATGCATAACATTACATTTTCATATTAAATTAGAAAATGTGGCTAACAATTAAATTGGGCTTTCAGAATAGTTCCAAATACAGTAGCCATTATGTGAATACTACGATAGCAGAATATGATCGCAACAAAATCAAAACCTAGGCAACACATGAGTTTATGACCTTGACCACCATACTCCTCACAGTTATTATTCACCACTTGAATTTATCTTTGGAAGCAATGAAGATAACAATTAGGAAATTACCTAGAATGACTTTAACTTTTTAATTAGTATGCTGAAGAGGCATAATTTGATAGTGGTAATAGAAACTAACTTTTTCGAATTATTTTACCCTCTAAATCTCAAATTAACACTCAACTGAATTTGAGATTTTTTATATAACACCACGTATGTTTCAAACTTTATTATTTAAGGGTAAATATTTACTCCAACAATTTTTTCTGCAACTAGCTAATAATTTTTCACTTTTCACTTTCTTTTGGTTATATGTTAGGAGATGTTAGAGATTACGAGATCGAGTTGAAAAAAAAATGAATATTTGTGTATATTTATTTATATTAAATAAGAAATATAATTTATATACAAATATTAACTTTCTTAATAACTATAAAGAAATATATTCAAAGCGAACTTGTAATCCCAAGATTTTCTAACATTCTGCACTCTTGTATATACAATTTATAGGTATTCTAATCGTTCATAATTATATTTTATGGACCTTTGAGATAATGACTCGTATTATTCATCTTCAACCAAATTTTATTTCAACCATTATACATTAAAGCAATTGTAAAAATGCCACACACACAAACCAATCCGCGTTGGCCCAGTTAGTAGAGGAATGTCTATGTGGGATTCCGCCACCTAGGTTCGAATCGGGTTGGCCACCGGGGCATTCACATGGTCTCTCTAGCCCCAGGATTAGTCGGTGAAAGTGGGATGTACGTTCAATGTCAGTGTTTCCGGTCCTTTGCAGAGGATGAAGGGGAAACCCCACTGGTCGGAGTCAGCGGTCCTTCGGGATCCGGATCATCTGAGTTATAAAAAAAAAATGCTACACTCAAAAAACATTTAATCAAGCGTGCCACTCTCTTTTTTTTTGTCAACAATTTTTTCATTCATCTAAAAGATCAAAGTACAAATGGAGGGAATTAAGCATCCTCCACCATTACTACAACATAATTGAAGTGAAATAAAATAAAAAATAGATAGGTCATCGCAGAAGATGATAGACAACAGATCCAAAGCATGCCTCAGATGCGTCAAGAGGGTCCTCGCAGCAGAGCCGAAGATTCTCAGGTTAGTCACTTTACCAAGTGACTTTGAAGTTCCCGGCATAACGCACGGGTGTTCGACCACTCTCCATGAGAGGGAAAAAAATACGACCATGCTCAAAGGGATGGAAGATGGTGGAATTGAACTCGTCCACCGAGAGTACATTACAGGATTTGAGAATCCAGAAAACTTTGATCTTCTCTCTATAGAGAAGATATCGAGCTCGTAAATACCTGGATTTGAGCATCCAGAAAACTTTGGCCCTCTCATACGTGGAGATATGACTCTCGACTCTTGATGGAATGAAGCATAGTGAAGGCGAATTGGTCTCTNCAGGCTCGATTTGGANGACANANATTTTAACGAGNTCNNTAACAAATTNCCTAAATCGGNANTAATGGCAGTACTACTATGCATAGATAAATCATGAAGCTTGCCAAGGAGGAAATAGGTTTTACTGCCCTCAAAAATTACAAACTCTGCCATGTATCGATGTGAAGTACTCGTGGTCTGTGTATTGCAATGAGGACAATAAAACCACACATTTGGATTATTAGAGAGTAACTGGGCCTGACCCATCACGTGAGATTGTTTGGATAGGGCTCGACATGGGCTTCTGAGGAGATTTCGCCGGCCCACCACAACTAACCCATTATGTGTAAAGCCCATTGGGCCCAATAACACAGAGGCGGCGTCGGGTGGGGAATCAGACTTAGCGGCTCGAGATTTCCGAAACTCCGGAGCAGCGACGATGAAGTACGGTGACATGGTCTTCGAAACAATATATGAAGCAGGAGATAGGTACCTCGGCGGCGGATCAGGCGGGATTGGTGGATCTGGAGGCTCCTTCGGATTTGGGAATTCCAGCTTAGCCGGCAAGACCAACCTCTGGTCACGAATCCCGGTTAGCTCCCTAGCAGTTGGTACCGGAAGGGATAAGCGAACTACTAACCTTGTTACAGTTCTGCAAACCATGGAACAGTTCGTAGGGGTGGAGTGACGAGACACGATGTAATAACCCTGCCTAGAGATCAAAACAGTTATGGGAAATGATCGAGCCAAGACCTAGTTGACGGAAGAAGAAAAAAATCGTTAAGCATGACGGGATTTAAGCACAAGGTGGCCCGAAGCACGACGTGGCGCGAAGCACGAGGTGGCGTGATTTTTTAAACTTGATATTTTTACAAAAATATAAAAGTTTGCGGAAGCACGACACAGCTGCCCGGGATTGACGTGCTTGGGATCAACGAAGCACGACAAATCCCGTAAGTACGAAGTGTCGCGATCTTGTGTGACGAGTCATTGGAAGCACGACAAATCCACAAGCACGACAAATCCGCAAGCACGACAAGTCAGAAGCACGATAAATCCCGTAAGCACGTGGTGTCGCGCCTTGTGTGTTGAGTCATCGGAAGCACGACAAATCTGCAAGCACGACAAATCCGCAAGCACGAGGTATCACGACCTTGTGTGTTGAGTCATCGGAAGCACGACAAACCCACAAACACGACAAATCTGCATGCACGAGGTGTCGCAACCGTGTGCAACGAGTCATCGCGAAGCACGACACAGACACGCTGACCATCCTACTTGCTTACCTGCTTGCCTAACCCTATATATAGGACCAAGTAGCTCCCATTTCTTACATAGTTCTCGTTCCAAACCTCTGACAAAATCAGTCTAGAAAATCTGAATATTTGTCCGCGTCCGTGATCTAGTCCAGGCCGTGTTCGTGAACCACCGTTTCGAGAAGGTTTTTGGTCGAAAGTCTAGCCTAAGGTCTGTCCGTTTTCATGAAGGAAATAGGCCGTGGAACCAAAGAAACATATCCGGTCTAGAGCCTAAGTTCCGAATCTAAGCCCTAACCGTTCAGAATGAGGTGAGTCTTGGTGATGTTTATCGTTTGCTAGATGAGTAGGGCACACGTTGCTTGTTTATTGTTATGCGTTATAGTCGTAGAGGTTCGTGCTAGAACTCTAGGAA